TTTTCTTTTTTTTTTTTTTTTTTTTTTTTTTTTTGCCATCTCCCTCTCCCCTCAGAAATCTGCAGATAAATAATTTAAGGAAATATTAGCTGATTATATGATCCATGTTTCCCTTTCTGACTGTTGTGGAGCCTACTTGTTCGGGACTAAAAAAATCGTCTTAAGTAATTGAAGCTGAACATATGAATATGCATCCCAGGAAATTTGTTTGAGGTCTTAACTTTTGCTTTTCTAGGGGGACCACAAGGATGGCTTTCATTGAGTAATGGCTAAGAAAGCTGAAATTTATGTATACTGCAAGATAGGCTCCAAGTAGAACGGTCAAACCAAAACTGAAGATTTATCTGATGCATCCAGCTTGCTGTTTCCTTCTTTTGAGCATCCAAAACATATTAACTTTAAATCACTTTTTTGTAATTTGATCTTAATGATTGTTGTCTTGCTTTTTGAAGGTTGCTTCTGTCTGTTATAGGCAAAGGTGAAACACAGCCATTTGCCAAAACTCAGAGCTGCTTTACATTTTCTGCTTTCATTCCATCATCTGTGCAGTTCTTCGCATCAACAGTCAGGTTCATATCCTGCCACAGATCAGTGTATCTGTCTCTGAACCACCAACTCCCTTCTATTCTTTGGCTGCTCTTTTGTTTGTACAAATGTCATTTATCCTTCCTCCTGCAATTTACCTTCCCTCTGGTTATGGGAGAAGTCCTGGCACAGGGATGAATAATAGTCCTGTAATTCACACAGTTCCATCCCAGAGTGACTAGCTGGATAGAGTTTGAGAAAATAGTTTTTTCCTTTGTGGGATCCTGAGGAGAGACATGGAGTTTAGCATTAATCACTGGCAGGGAGAGTGATCCTTTGGTAAAAGATTCACATGGGATAATTCACGTCAGAAGGGAAATCAGGAATTCTTTCGTCCCAATTTCTAGTCAAAACAGTGTGAGCTATGAGATGCTTTCTGAGGACTATTCATAGGCATGATCTGTTTTAAGCTGAGACTGAGCAATTATGGTTAAAAAGGAGATTAAGAGATTTTGCATGTTTTTAAGTGCATGTATATGTAAAATAGCTAAATCTAGAGATTTACCGATCAGTAAAGGATCTATCTTCAGAGACAAAAATATATGTTCTTTTATATTACCATGAGATCATGTGAAAGTTAACATTTTCCCAGTATGCTTTACTTTTGCTTCATTTGAATAAATTAAGATCAGGATTGGTTTTGGTCGAGCTTCATACCTCAGATTGGTACCATATAGGAAGGGCTAAACTAAGAGTCTACTCAAGAAGTAAAATTATGAGTTAAATTATATGTTAATTGTTTACCTTTAAAAAATCCTGTTTCTGTTCAGGTGAGTTGTCCATCTGTTGATACAATTTGATATTCATGTCAGTATTTCTTATAGCCCAGCTAGAGGCAAACTTTGAGGAAATGGAGAATCATCTGTTGTGTCTTGAGGACCTATGTGAGCAGTGTGAGTTGGAAAGATACAAGTGTGTGCAGACATTACAGCTGGAAAACTACAAGAAAACAAAAAGGTAAATAAAACAATAATTATAAATTAGCATAAAATATAAACCTTTTGTAATTGCCCCCATAGGTAGTATAATCCCTTTTATTTTCATCTTTTTAAGAAACAGTAGTCTTTGTCAGGATGTTGCAAATTTGTAGTAGTTTCACTGAATGTCTAGCTCTTGGTGATGAACAAAGAGTGTGTGTATTTGGAAAATTATCACTACATAGTTGTTAAGATGAAGCCATGCTTATTATTTTCTGCAAACAATTGGATTAGGGGTTGTTGTTAACAAGCACTGATATTTGTTTCTTTGAATCCCTTACCCTGGTTTTTTGATTTCTTTTTTTTTTTTCCCCCTCATGTACCTGTCAAATTAGGAACAGTATTTTCCTCTATCTTCCTTTGAGTTCTGTCATGTCCTATCCTATAAGTACCTTTCACTCTATATGAAAGGTATTAATCTCCTGCCATTCTCTTACTTGCAAAAATGGGGCATTAGTTCTTGGAATCAAAGTTCAACTTAGGCCGAGAAGTATATGTGAAAATTTAGAACTTACAAATTATGAGTTTCATGTTTACCTAAGAGATAAAATAGCAAGAGAAAAATATTGAGCTTAAATAAACTGTTAACTGTCTTGATTTTGTTACTGACAGTGCCAAAAATAACCCAACAGAAGGAGATAAGAAAAACAGTATTATGTCTGTTATATAAATGAGGAAATGAGGAGTTGAATTGAAGCAATTTGTCAAAGACAGTGTCTGGCAGCCTTTGTTAGGGAGTGGTGGGTAGACACAGATGTTGACTGACATGGGGATAGCCAAGTTACTTGATCTGTCCAGCCAAGTGACCTCCTGTTAGCCAGGGAAAGCACCTTGGCACCCTCCTCACTTCTCTTGATTGTGGAAGCGAGTTTGATTGATATGGTATGGTCAGAACAACTGGTCTGGTTTACAGTTCTAATGAGGATGTGGTGATCAAGGGCAGGACTGCTCCAGACAGCGTTGGTCACCTTGTGTATAGCTTATCTGGTTTCCTCTGTCTTGACTCTCCTTTTGCCATTCTTGTAGGTCATCTTTTTTTTTTTTCTTTTTCTTTTTTTTTTTTTTTTTTTAAATCCCTGTTTCTTCACAAATAATCAATTTACCCCGATTACTTTTTCCCTCTTGGTCCTTGTGTATTGCCTAGGGAATCTTAGCCTTCTATGGTGTTACAGATCCAGTTACTGAAGTAGTGCTGGTGTTGCAAGTTCTGCCTCCCAAAAGCTCTCAAATGCCTTAAAGGTCCCCCTTCAGTTTTCTGCAGAATTTGGCTGTTTCTCACCTAACTCCACTTCAAACATCTGTGAAATCCAGTCGTCCCTCATGATGTCATTTGTAGCTTTTGTCAGCACCTTATTATGTTCTCTGTCACATCTAGGAACTTATGTCGTGTCCTTTAGTTTTTCACATCCTGTTCGGTCAGCTTAACCTCAGGCCAGGACCTTTGCAGTGGTCTGTATATAGATGTAGATATGTATATATATAAATATCTAAATATTTAATCAAATAACACAAATTTTAAATGCATGTAAAGCAACAGATTTGTATCCCTAAAATAATACTCTCTCTTCCCCAGCCTCTGCTTTCATCGTCAAAACAAAGTGTTAAACTACCGCCTGCTCTGCTTAGCAGCATCTAATCAGTTTTATAAATAGAATGCTAAGCAAGCTACTTAGTGTAATTATAAGCTGATTACATTTGGTCAGATCTAGACAAAACAGGAAAAATACAGGTAATTTCTAGTTGATCATTACCACTGTATTTATTTAGGTAAGAAATTAACTGCTAGCTCATTACTAGAAGGACACTTGCTAATGTAGATGAAGAAGTTATCGGGAGTGTGATTTGTTATTGTTTGTTTGGAACTCATGTCCTGCCTTCCTCTCTTTGATGACTGGGTTTTTACTGTGATACCAGCTGAAATAATCAACAAGGTGGGTTCAGGAGTCTATGCTCTCTCTTTAGCACATGAGTTATTTTCAGGGAGTGAGTGGTTTTGTACTTGAAAAAAAAGGTACTTAATGTGTTTTGACAATATAGGGATGAAAACTGTGATGAATATGAACTCTAGAACCTGTGGTTATTTTAAGCATGTAACAGAAAGTAATTTTATTATGAAGTCTCTGTAGAGTTTAGAATAGAAGCTTGTGTATTTTAAGTCTTTCAAAAAAATTGTATGTGAAAGGTTTAGAGAAAGGTGCTTGGGGTCAACATTAAACCTATGAAATGCAGCTTATGGTAACTATGGGAACTTATTTTCAGAAATAGGTCTCCCTGTTAAATAGAGCAACTTTATTTCAGTTCAGACAGATCATTTTTCCCCCCTTTGTCATTGTGTTGTTGAGTACGAGTTTCAAAGTAGATTCATCAATCCAAGGTATTTTCCAACTTATATTAAAGCCTGGTGTTTGGGGGGACTTGTTGTTTTTTGTGTGCTTATCTCTGGATTTTTAATATTCTCTTTTTCGTGTGTTTAAATCCATTGATCAGTGTACCAGTGCTGTTGTGTGTTATATTGTTATATTCCACTTTTGTTTTCTCTAGTTTGTCTCGCTGCAGTTGTTTGCATGCACGTTCACATTAAACCACGTTGTTTTCTTTCCCATCTTTTCTCAATCAAGCACAATTCTTCTTCCTCTTCCTTCATTCTCCTACTGAGGATATTCTGTTTCTGATTGCAGAAAACTCTCTGTATCCCTTCAGTCTCCTATGGCAGTTCTTGCTTTCCCAATGCAGGACTGCAGGCTCTCTTCTGTGTCGTTTTTTCATGTGTGCCTGTAACACAACCTATAATGGCAGGCTTACAGCCTAAGATGAAATGTTTCCATCCTGAAGCTGCACTCCCTGTGAAGCTCTTAATAACATTTGTATCCATTTCAGAGGGAACACCGGTCTTTTTTGAAAAGTAGGAACTCCAACTTGCAGCATTTTGTAGGACTGCTTTGGGAACAGCAGAAAGTCACTGGAAATGAGTGAATAGATGTTACTGTGCGTCATTTGGCTCAAAACATAGTTGTCTGAACGTTAATTTTTTTAAGATGTCTTGTTTAAGAAGCCGTTCTGCTTTTCAGTATTTGTCAGCTTTAAGAAGTGAAATAGAAGGTAAATAAATGTAGAAATCTAAAATCCAGAGTCTGAAATATACCCTGATACCAGAGTATACTTCAAGAGATGAATGTTTAGTAATATTGCAAATGCTACTGGGACTATTATTTTTTCTTTCTGGTGAGATTTAAAGAAATGCTATATTTGAAGAGAAAATGGCTTCTTAAAACATGTATTTCGTTCTAATTTTTGTGTTTTAGAGGCTTATTTGTTGTCTTGAAATGATGTGTAACCCCATGCTTTGGTAAATAGTGCAGTAGATGAGGAGTTGGACAGATTGTCATAATTCTTGTTAGGTGCATTGCCATGCCACGATGGTGCTTTAATGCTTCAGGGGAGAAGAATGTTAGATTTATTTTCTCATTCAGAAGGGTATGAAATTGATGGCACACTAGAGATGTGTGTGAGAAAATGTCTTAGTTACTGTTGTTTTCTTCTGTAGATTTTATTCCTCTTTTTAATTGCTCCATAAATAAAAGGGAAAGTAAGGGTTGTTGGACTGAGATATAGGGTGCCTTATCTTAGGCCTGACCAACATAAACATTTGAAAAGTAAATACAAAACAACTTCTTCAGACAATTTAGACTGGTCTGCTTCCTGAAGAAGTTCCTTCTAACTTGGGACAATGAATCGTTATTTGCTCACTAACATACCAAAATAATGTGGAGGGTTTTTCTTTTGGAGGGGGTTTTTGCTTTCAAATATTATCTTTACCTCTGTAGCACTGCACAAAGCTGTCTTCTGACATTAAATGCACTGTGAATCATTTCTAAGACCCTGGCAACCTGTTCCATAGTTCTCATCAAAATTTTCATCCAAGTAAGGTTTCATGCCATATTCTTTTTGATCAGTCTTGTACCGGTTATATAAATTTTCAGCTACTATACCTCTGTGTACCTTGATACCTAATTAATTTTTGCAAGGTAGGGTGCAGAACTTGCATTATCTTCAGGACAGTTAGCTGTGCAGTGGATGACTGGTCATTTAGGCATGGTTTTTGTGTTTCTGTGCTCAGAGCAGAGTTCACTTTTCAGAGATTTTTTTCCATTCTGCTATTCATGAGTTTGCATAAAGCACAACCAGTAGCAAGTGTTTTCATGGTGATAACTGGCTGGAATTAATTTTATATCCCTCAGTTGTTGCATTTCTCTAGGCAGACACATGGAATGGCAATTCTTATTGAGCCTGAAGAGATAGGCTTGCACAAGCTTTAGAAAACTTTCCTGGAATTTTTTTGCTCCCTACTGTGTAGTTTTAGGGCTGTGAACTTTCTTTTGCTCTCAAGAATTCTTGCACTACGGTATTCTGCATACATCAAACCCAAAGGAGTATGCTGGTCCATTATATAGTCAAATTTACTCCCGTCAGTGCTTCAAGTATTTGAAAACATTGGCCAAGGCTGAACACGTAGCAGATTTGAAGGTTGTAGGGGGTTTGTCAGTTTTTTAATCTTATTTGCAAAGTGTGAATGTACAGTATAATTTCTGTCGCTTTGAAGTTATTTTAATTTTGCCCTTCTTCTGTGTTGGTCTTTGCTTGCTGCAGAGAGACAATGACGTTGTTACAAAGAGATTTGATACGTAACTGCCTCTTACAGTTTTCTTTTCTTTTGAATAGGAATATAAAAGATTTTTTCCTTCGGCTTTTGTGACCTGTGATTAAAGACTGAATGTTTGTGTTGGATCCTCTGTATCTTACAGCACCTTTTAATAATGTTATCTAGAAACAGTTAAAACGTTATGTCAATCCTGCATAATTTATCTCTACCTTTATGTAGTGCTTGTTAGTGGGCATAATCTGCAAATCCTGTCAAGCTGTTAATACCAGGCATTCTTTGTCCAGACTTACTGTACTAGTAATAGGAACAGATGGTTTAGG